GTGAGTTGTTTGAGGCGCACAGTCGCCATAGCCAGAGGAAGCGAACTGTTGCCTGGAAGCCATATCTCTGAATTCTGTGTGGGCGCATGTCGCCAATTTGTTGTTTTGCTGTTCACGTGCATGAAAAGTGTGAACAAGTCAAGTCTGATTGCACTGGTATCAGAGCAGGTACCCGCTGTTCCACGCGCCGTCGTGTGCAGGGCCGATGCGCCATAGCTGAGGTGGCCGCCGGAGGGAGCAGTCCGCCATAGCGGACCTCGAGGTGGAAGAAGCCGCCGCGCACCTGCATCAAGAAGATCACGACGAAGAAGAGGACAGAGAGAGAGAGAGAGAGAGAGAGGGAGAGAGAGAGAGAGATGAGCGATCCTAGATTGGTTGTCACCTACTTGTGAGGCGAGGTGCGTAGTTCGGTGGGGAAGGAAGACAGCGGCCATAGCCGCGGAGCATCAACACAGAATACGGAAGGAGAGAGAGAGGGAGGACAGAGGAGGGACTGAGGAGAGAGAGAAAGAGAAGTGCGGAAGGAGGGATACCGGAGAAGAAGACAGACATAGCCGGGGGTGAACACAAAAAAAAAGAAAAAAACAGAGAAAGTGAAGAAGAAGAAGAGTGAAGGAAGGGGAAGTAAGCGGCGGGGGTGATGAAGGTGAAGGTGCTGGCAGCCATAGCCGAGGTGAAGGGTTGACCGGGTGTTGACCAGAGCGTTGACCAGAGGGTTGACCAGGGGTTGACCAGAGGGCTGACCAGGCGTTGACCAAGGGTGTTGACCAAGCGTTGATTGGGGGTTGCCCGCGTTGACTCAGCGTTGACCAAGGCGTTGACCGGAGCTGCTGACCAAGATTTTGACCAAGCTAGAGATGGTGATATCTCGCTGAGCCCTTAGCCTATCCCCTTACCCTGTGGATGTGCACCTACCCCACGGTACTTGCTGGGTTTGTCTGTCTACTCTTTCTGCATTGAGTCTCTTCTGTCCTAGGTGTTAGGACTCTGTGGATGAAGGATAGGGCCTTGCTGCCAAACCTGCACGGGACTTAGTAGGACTAATCTCTACTCTGGTATCTGGAGACCTGGGCATGAGCGGCGAGCGCTCGTTAAACAACTCGTCTAGCCCGATGACCGGTACTGTCCGGCAGGTCTACTCAGTTTCAGTGTAGAGGGTCCGAACTCCGAGCTGTAGGCTGAAACGAAGGTCGTCTTTAAGTGTTGAGGCCTGGTTGAACCACTCCCCTACCGGACCTAGTAAGGCTGATGATYTGTGTCTGAYGACTCRWYTGTCCCGAGGGATACGAACCCCTCCAAGGACCGGTACAGACCGGCGGGCTGCTCGGTGTGGCACAGTAGGCCGGAACGGCTGAGTTGTGGGCTGAAATCGCCAGGAAGAACCAAGCTGATCACGTCGTCCTATCTGCGACGTTAAAGAATTCTTACGGAGTTTGGGGGATCTCCTTAAATGCCTCCAGAAGTGACAACCCTAGAGTAGTCTTGGGCTAGTGGCCATAGTTGACAGGGTTTCACCCTGTGGTCCTTAGAGAGTCAGTCAGTGGGTCAAGTGTCCGGGTAGGTCTAAGTGGTGAGGAGTGGGACTCCTGTCGTGCACCTGACACCACGATGGATGACTATCCGATGTATGGGGTACTTATTGGGTTCTCCCTCTGGGGGACCCTCTGGCGTCTTCTCTTTCCTCTGGGATTCTGGCCCACACTCACGTGTAGAGTAGGAACCCGGGGTGGTACCTCCACCACGCCCTATTCGAAGGAGGAGGAGGAGAAGATGGCCGCCATACTGAGAGAGAGGAAGGAGAAGAAGGTGGCCAAGAAGAAGGCCTTACAGGAGGAGCAGGCGGCCAAGCTGAAGAAGATAGAGGAAGAGATGGCCAGGGAGAAAGAGAGGTTGAAGAAGGAAGAAGAGCAGAAGCTGAAAGAAGTGGAAGAGGAAGAGGAAGAAGATGAAACGCCACTGCAAAGAAAGAGAGGGCAATACAGTGGCAACAGAGATGAGGAGATGGAGAAACGGATTTCAGAGTGGGTCGCCAACTTATTCCTGGGCGAAGAAGAAGAGGTGGCAATGTATATACCCAAGGATGACCAGGAAGCCGCTATGAGAGCTTGGGAAGCAGAAGGAGATGTCATAAAGTGGCATGCGATGGAAGATGAGAAAAGGATGGAGTGGAAACTGGCAGTGATGAGGGAGAAGAAGAGAAGAGTGGACGCGACAGCGGAGGCGGCAGAAGAATTAGAGGAGGTAAAAAAGATAGAAGAGCAATTAGCCGCCCAGACCAAACTCCCAAACCAAATACGAGTCATAGCCCGAAATGTTGCACGCCTGGCACGAATTCAGGCAGAGCAATATGACTTCAGTAGGAGCCAACACATAGCTGTGCATTCGATACGGTTGGGATTCCGGGACTTTGCTCGCGAGTTGGTAGGCGTTGTAGGGGCTGAGGTGGGCCATCGCCTTGACAAAACTGAGCGGTTTTGCGCTGGCGCCATTGAGGGCGTCAAGGCGGCAGCTCCCAAGGAGGAGGAGCCACGTCCACGTAGGGAGCCAGTCAAGGTCAAATTCCCTGATTCCTACAGTGGGAAGAGGGAAGAGAACTTTGACAACTGGGAGGCCAACGTCAAGACCTACGTGCATCTGCAACAGGTCTCCCTGGATCAGCATGTCTTGATTGCGATCCACGCAATGAGAGATGAGGCCGCCAGTTTTGCAAGGTCCCTAGTGCGCGCCGCTAACTGCAATGATGATGCAGTTGCCTATTCGTCAGTCACCTCCCTCGCTGAGTTTATGAAATTGTTGCGCGAGCGATTTGCAGATGTTGCTCGCAATGTCAAGGCCTCAGATAAACTCCAGACAATCCACGCCCGTAAGTGGAAGAGTGCCAGGGCACTCAAGAGCACGATGGACAAATTAGTAGTTGTCCATGACCACGGGGTTACAGACACTCAGTTGGTCGCCCTCTTCTATAGAGCAATGCCCGAAGCATTTCGCGGGCACTTCTTCGCGAAGAGCGAAGACCCTACCACCACTTATGATTCCCTTAGTCGTGAAGTGGTGGCCTTTGAGGCAAGATCTGTGTCAGTCTCCACCTTCTGGCACAAAGATTTGGACAAGGGTAAGAAATGGAAGGGCCGCACTATCTCAGGGCAAGTGAAGACTAAGGATAGTCTTGTCCTAACCTTAGATGAGGGTAGTGTGGATGAGATCCCCTACGATCAGATTGAGTGGGGGTTGGAGGACGAGGACAGCGGCGTGGGCCAGGGGAGAACTTACGCTGCTGTCGCGGTCGGAGGGAGGCCGCAAGGAGGAGGACGAGGCTAGGGCCGAGGGGGCTGGGCCTCAGGGAGCCGATTTCAGGGCGATCAGGGGGTTGGCGGCAGAGGAGGAAACCGCCAAGCGGGAGGAAGGGGTCAAGGTCCCCCGCAAAACCGTCCTAGGAACAGGTCTCCCTATAGGGTAGGTGGATGGCACCCAGGGCTACCTCAGGGTAGGCCTTGGGAAAGTTTGGGTTTGGACCAGGGCTAATGGCAACAACGGTTGGACCGGGGCCAGTGCATTTTCTGCGGTGACCCGTGCCATATCATCAAATACTGTCCTAAGTACACAGAGACCCGGACGGCTGCGCAGGAGTCAAAAGGCAGCCGCCGGTAGGGGCAGCAACTGCCCCTACCACAAGGCCATGTGGGGAACATAGCGCTAGCCGGCAGGAAACTCCCACACCACATGTGCCTATGGCAGAGGTTGCAGGCCGGTGTCTAGACAGCTATCCTCGCAGACAACCGTATGATGATTGTAGAGGATTACGTAGAGGGAGTCCAGGCGTATTTCCGCCTAGAGAAGGATGGGAAAGTGGAGAAGGTCCTCCACTCCCTAACTCTCCTCGTAGAAGACAGCCTCCCATTCGATATTGTCCTGGGGATGGATTGGGGAGAGACAGTCGGGGCCACACTCCATCTGAAGGAGCACGAGTGTAGACTCCCTAGCCCTTCAGGCGAAGCCAAGACTGCCCGCCTGTTTCATGTGTCAGGAGTAGAGAATTCCCTGGCGCATTGCTGCCTGAGTGCACCTGCATTTGCGAGACTAGTGAAAAGGGAGAAATTGGAGGAACAGGTTTTTGTTGCCTATGTTAGGCCAGTGACTGAGCCTACGGAAGAAAAGCCGATGGACCCTGCGATTGCCAAGCTGCTGGAAGAGTTCAAGGACCTAACTGAGCCGCCGATAGGAGTGGTACCGCGGCCCATCCAGCACCGCATTGAGATAGAGCCTGGCACTAGAACTCCTAAGGGCGCTGTGTATAGGATGTCCCCACGGGAGTTGGAGGAGCTTCGCAAGCAATTAGATGAGTTCCTCGAGAAGGGTTGGATTAGGCCCAGTTCGTCTCCTTTTGGAGCGCCTGTTCTTTGTTCCTAAGAAAGAGGGAGAGCTAAGAATGCGTATAGACTATAGGGGTTTGAATGCTATTACAGTGGAGAATGTCGAGCCACTGCCTACGATAGACGATCTCTTAGATCGAGTGCAGGGGGCGAAGTATTTCTCCAAGATAGATTTGAAGTCCGGATATCATCAGATAGAAGTGCATCTTGATGATCAGTATAAGACCGCCTTCCGGACTAGATATGGGCACTATGAGTTCGTAGTGATGCCCTTTGGACTAGCCAATGCGCCAGCTACGTTCCAGCGCTGTATGAACGATTTGTTTAGGCCTTGGTTAGATTGATTTGTTGTTGTCTACTTTAGATGATATCTTAGTGTTTAGCAAGACCCTCCAAGAACATCAGGGTCATCTCAGGCAAGTCTTGGAGAAGCTGAGGGAAGCTAACTTCAAGATCAATGCAAAGAAGTGCGATTGGGCAAAGACCCAAGTTTTGTACCTAGGCCACGTCTTAGACGGAGACGGCGTTAAACCAGAAGATTGTAAAATCGCAGCGATTAGAGATTGGCCCACGCCGCGCACGCTGACAGAGTTGCGCTCGTTCTTGGGCTTAGCTAACTATTACAGGAAGTTCGTGAGGAACTTCTCTACCATCGCTGCTCCCCTTCGCAGATTATTGAGGAAGGAGACCATCTGGAAGTGGGACAAGGACTATACGTCTGCCATGAAAAAATTGAAGCAGGCATTGATAGAGTACCCGGTCCTTAAGGTAGCCGATCCGTCCTTGCCTTTAATCGTCACTACGGATGCTAGTCAGTACGACATAGGCGCGGTGTTGCAGCAAGACGATGGCAATGGTTATAGACCCGTAGAGTTCATGTCCACCAGAATGCCTTCAGAGAAGGTCGCGATATCTACCTATGAGAGGGAACTCTACGCTCTCAGGCAAGCCTTAGAACATTGGAAGCACTACTTGCTTGGGAGGCACTTCAAAGTCTATTCCGATCATGAGACATTAAGATGGTTAAAGACGCAGGCCAAGATGACACCTAAGCTTACTAGGTGGGCCGCAGAGATAGATCAGTACGACTTTGAGCTCAAGCCAGTCAAGGGGAAGTATAACGTAGTTGCGGATGCTCTGAGTAGGAGAGCTGATTACTTTGGGGCAATAGTGCATTACTTAGACATAGGGAAGGACCTTCAGCAGAAGATTAGAGAAGCCTATGCACAGGACCCTGTCTACAGGGACCTCCTTAAGAAGGTCAAGGAGGCCCCAGAGACCGAGCCGAACTACCGCACTACTGAAGGGTTGCTTTTTGAGAAGGCTAATGTATTTAACCGCCTGTGCATTCCCAGTAGTGAAGAGGTCCGTAGCCTGATTTTGGGAGAATGCCACGACACAGAGGGTCATTTTGGTTGGCAAAAGACTTTAGCCAATCTGATGCGCATATACCTGGCCAGGAATGAAGAATGACTGCGTAGAGTATGTTCGCAGTTGCAAAGTCTGCCAGCGTAACAAGAGTTCTACGCGCGCCCCGCTAGGTCTTCTCAGACCCTTGCCCATTCCGGATCAGCTGGGAGACTCAGTGTCCATCGACTTCATGGACACCCAAGTCAAGAGTAGGCATGGTAAGAGCCAAGTCATGGTCATAGTTGACCGTTTTAGCAAGTACGCAGTTTTTGTTCCTTTGCCTTCAGAGGCGCATACTGACTTAGTGATACAGAGATTTTTTGACTGCTGGGTTAGTGAGAATGGAATCCCACTGTCAATAGTGAGCGATAGAGATAGTCGCTTCACCAGCCAGAACAGGCACGAACTCATGGGAGTGTACGGATCGAAGTTGTTGATGTCGTATGGCCGCCATCCTGAGACTAACGGTCAGACGGAGTAGATGAACAAGATCCTACAGCAAGTTCTGCGCATGTACATTAGGCCAGATTAGATTAACTGGGATGAGATGTTGCCTAAAGTAGCTAGTGCGTATAATAACAGCGTGCATTTGTCCACCTGCCGCACTCCCAATGAACTGCACAAGTCCTTTAGACCGCGCAGGCCGTTTGAGGGATTCAACCAGGATCAGATTCACAGATTACCACCCGGAACCAGGGAGTTTGCCGTACAGCACGAGAGAGAACTAGCTACTGTTGTAGAGAACCTCAGGAAGGCCCAACACAGGATGATAGAGCAAGCCAATAAGCATCGTCGCCCCTCACAGTTCCAGGTAGGCGACTTAGTCTGGGTCAGTTCTAAAGAGTTTGCACCTGAGGAAAACATCTCGCAGAAGTTACTGCCCACCTATAGAGGACCATGGCCAGTCTTAGAAGTCAAGGGCGGCGAAGATGGACCGTCGTATACCATAGAACTCCCAGCACACCTCCATACTTACCCAGTTTTCCATGCATCGAAGTTGTTACCTTGTCAAACAAGTGATCGGTTTCCATCCCGTAGATCCATGATCCCACTGGATATGGATGGAAGATATGACATCGATGGCATAGTGGCTGAAGATGTATTCAGAACTGGAGGTAGAGGTCGTCCACAGAAACAGTACAAGGTTCATTTCAGTTATCAAGAACCGGAAGACGACCGCTGGTTTACGAGATCTGAACTTCTAGAGACGGCTCCCGATATAGTCCGGGCCTACGAGAGGCAACAGAAAGGTAAAGGTCCTGCCTTGGACTGAAAATTTCTCGGAGGACCTCGAATTTAGGCCGGCGGGAGTGAAACGGTATTCACCAGTTCGCAGTAGCTGATGCAGATCCCAGGGCTCGATCCCTAGCTCCCCATCTTACCTGTGTACAGTACCAGTGTCAACC